GGAGCGTGCCCCCCCTCCCCAGCGCTGGAGGGGGGAGCGTGCCCCCCTCCCCAGCGCTGGAGGGGGGAGTGTGGCCCCCTCCCCAGCGCTGGAGGGGGGAGTGTGGCCCCCTCCCCAGCGCTGGAGGGAGGAGTGTGCCCCCCCCCTCCCCAGCGCTGGGAGGAGTTCTACGTCAGCACTAGCAAGAGGTCATGACCCCCCCCCTCCCCCCCACCAAAACTGTCAGGCAAGAATTCAACAAAAATCAAGTTGCAACGCTTAAGGTGTGGAAAATGGGGGAGAGGAGAGAGGGGGGGACGGAAGAGGATGGAACAGGATGAACCAGGCTGTTCCTGAGAGGGAGCAGGTGCTCCTGGGGCCTGGGAGGTCTGGGGGGGTTTAAGGGGGCACGTGGTTGATACCTGGTGTTGACTGGGTGTCTCCCCCCCCCCCCCCCCCCCACACACACACACTACCAGGATGAGTTGTGGTTGTCCAGTGCCGCTCTGGTGGTACTACTCTCTCTCACCACATCTGTACCACCACTGCTGCTGCTGCTGCAGAATCCATACCCCCACGCTCAGGCCACCTCCACACCTGCAGTGCCCACCACCACACCTTCACCACCACACCTGCAGTGCCCACCACCACACCTTCACCACCACGTAATACCTTGTAATGTAATGAAGATAGGTGTTGGGAGCAGGAGGCCAGATACAAGGTATCATCTGGGAGATGAAATACTTCAAAGAGTCAGAGAGAGAGAAAGACCTGGGGGTTGATATCACGCCAGACCTGTCTCCTGCAGCCCATATCAAGAGGATAACATCAGCGGCATATGCCAGGCTGGCCAACATAAGAACAGCATTTAGAAACTTGTGTAAGGAATCATTCAGAACTTTGTAACCACATATGTCAGACCAATCCAATGTATGCAGCCCCAGCATGGAGTCCATATCTAGTCAAGCATATGACTAAACTGGAGAAGGTTCAAAGGTTTGCCACCAGACTAGTACCCGAGCTGAGAGGTATGAGCTACGAGGAGAGACTACGGGAATTAAACCTCACTTCGCTGGAAGACAGAAGAGTTAGGGAGGACATGATCACCACATTCAAGATTCTCAAGGGAATTGATAGGGGTAGATAAAGACAGGCTATTTAACGCAAGGGGCACACGCACTAGGGAACACAGGTGGAAACTGAGTGCCCAAATGAGCCACAGAGATATTAGAAAGAACTTTTTTAGTGTCAGAGTCGTTGACAACTGGAATGCATTAGGAAGTGATGTGGTGGAGGCTGACTCCATACACAGTTTCACATGTAGATATAATAGAGCCCAGTAGGCTCAGGAACCTGTATACCTGTTGATTGACGGTTGAGAGGCGGGACCAAAGAGCCAGAGCTCAACCCCCGCAAGCACAAATAGGCGCGAGTACAAGTAGGCGAGTACACCTGCACCACGGACAACCAGGGGCCAGATTCACCAAGCAGTTACGCAAGTACTTACGAACGTGTACATCTTTTCTCAATCTTTGGCGGCTTTGGTTACATTTATTAAACAGTTTACCAGCATGAAAACGTCCCAATCAACTGTTGTTATTGTTATAAACAGCCCCCTGGTGCTCCGGAGCTCATTAACTGTCTAATAATTGTAAACAAATTCGCCAAAGATTCAGAAAAGATGTACAGGTTCGTAAGTACTTGCGTACCTGCTTCGTGAATCTGGCCCCTGGCTCCCACACTCAAGTCACCTGCGTCAGCTTCACTGACCTTTGAGCAGGTCGGCCGAGCGGACAGCACGCTGGACTTGTGATCATGTGGTCCCGGGTTCGATCCCGGGCGCCGGCAAGAAACAATGGGCAGAGTTTCTTTCACCCTATGCCCCTGTTACATAGCAGTAAAATAGGTACCTGGGTGTTAGTCAGCTGTCACGGGCTGCTTCCTGGGGGTGGAGACCTGGTCGAGGACCGGGCCGCGGGGACACTAAAGCCCCGAAATCATCTCAAAATAACCTCAAGAAGATAACCTTTCCACAGGTGAGTGCTGACCAGCCTGGCAGCTCCACCACCACCACCTCACCAGTTATAACAGAACGTCGCATTCTGACGTACACTTCACCTAAGGCTAAAAAATCGTCGTACTAGAAAATGGTAGCGCCTCGCGAAATTGACGTACTGTCCCGTTTTCTGTTTTAGGTCCTCTGGTAGGTCAGGGCACATTAGTACGTCAGTTTCTTGACGTTGGGGAGACCTTGGGAGGACGAGTTGCCGCAACCAGCAAATACACAGAATTCTATTCTGCACAATGCAGAATAGAACCAGTGAAGAGCAGAGGTGCCATGGGCACAATCAGAGAATACTGAATAACCGTCAGAGGTCCGCGGTTGTTCAACGTCCTCCCAGCGAGCATAAGAAATATTACAGGAACAACCGTGGACATCTTCAAGAGGAAACTGGATTGTTTCCTCCAAGGAGTGCCGGACCAACCGGGCTGTGGTGGGTATGTGGGCCTGCGGGCCGCTCCAAGCAACAGCCTGGTGGACCAATCCCTCACAAGTCAAGCCTGGCCTCGGGCCGGGCTTGGGGAGTAGAAGAACTCCCAGAACCCCATCAACCAGGTATCAAGCAGATGACAAGTGCTCTACACACAGTATAAGGGTCAACACCCAGGTGACAAGTGCTCTACACACAGTATAAGGGTCAACACCCAGGTGACAAGTGCTCTACACACAGTATAAGGGTCAACACCCAGGTGACAAGTGCTCTACACACAGTATAAGGTCAACACCCAGGTGACAAGTGCTCTACACACAGTATAAGGATCAACACCCAGGTGACAAGTGCTCTACACACAGTATAAGGGTCAACACCCAGGTGACAAGTGCTCTACACACAGTATAAGGTCAACACCCAGGTGACAAGTGCCCTACACACAGTATAAGGGTCAACACCCAGGTGACAAGTGCTCTACACACAGTATAAGGGTCAACACCCAGGTGACAAGTGCCCTACACACAGTATAAGGTCAACACACAGGTGACAAGTGCCCTACACACAGTATAAGGTCAACACCCAGGAGACAAGTGCCCTACACACAGTATAAGGGTCAACACCCAGGTGACAAGTGCTCTACACACAGTATAAGGGTCAACACCCAGGAGACAAGTGCCCTACACACAGTATAAGGTCAACACACAGGTGACAAGTGCCCTACACACAGTATAAGGGTCAACACCCAGGTGACAAGTGCCCTACACACAGTATAAGGGTCAACACCCAGGAGACAAGTGCTCTACACACAGTATAAGGGTCAACACCCAGGTGACAAGTGCCCTACACACAGTATAAGGGTCAACACCCAGGTGACAAGTGCTCTACACACAGTATAAGGTCAACACCCAGGTGACAAGTGCTCTACACACAGTATAAGGGTCAACACCCAGGAGACAAGTGCCCTACACACATTATAAGGGTCAACACCCTAGCGACTAGAGTGACTCACTCCACAATACTCGGTGTTATTAGTTCAATCACAGCGCGTCCAAGGTTAGAGTCCTGGTGGGGGTGTCTGCGGCACTCCCGGTAGGGGTGTCTGCGGGCACTCCCGGTAGGGGTGTCTGCGGGCACTCCCGGTGGGGGTGTCTGCGGCACTCCCGGTGGGGGTGTCTGCTGGCACTCCCGGTAGAGGTGTCTGCGGGCACTCCCGGTGGGGGTGTCTGCGGCACTCCCGGTGGGGGTGTCTGCTGGCACTCCCGGTAGGGGTGTCTGCGGGCACTCCCGGTAGGGGTGTCTGCGGCACTCCCGGTAGGGGTGTCTGCGGGCACTCCTGGTGGGGGTGTCTGCGGGCACTCCCGGTGGGGGTGTCTGCTGGCACTCCCGGTAGGGGTGTCTGCGGGCACTCCCGGTGGGGGTGTCTGCGGGCACTCCCGGTGGGGGTGTCTGCGGCACTCCCGGTGGGGGTGTCTGCTGGCACTCCCGGTAGGGGTGTCTGCGGGCACTCCCGGTAGGGGTGTCTGCGGGCACTCCCGGTGGGGGTTGTCTGCGGCACTCCCGGTGGGGGTTGTCTGCGGGCACTCCCAGTGGGGGTGTCTGCGGGCACTCCCGGTGGGGGTGTCTGCGGCACTCCCGGTGGGGGTTGTCTGCGGGCACTCCCGGTAGGGGTGTCTGCGGCACTCCCGGTGGGGGTGTCTGTGGCACTCCCGGTGGGGGTGTCTGTGGCACTCCCGGTGGGGGTTGTCTGCGACACTCCCGGTGGGGGTTGTCTGCGGGCACTCCCAGTGGGGGTGTCTGCGGGCACTCCCGGTGGGGGTGTCTGCGGCACTCCCGGTGGGGGTGTCTGTGGCACTCCCGGTGGGGGGTGTCTGCGGGCACTCCCAGTGGGGGTGTCTGCGGCACTCCCGGTGGGGGGTGTCTGCGGCACTCCTGGTGGGGGGTGTCTGCGGCACTCCCTGTGGGGGGTGTCTGCGGCACTCCCGGTGGGGGGTGTCTACGGCACTCCCGGTGGGGGGTGTCTGCGGGCACTCCCGGTGGGGGTGTCTGCGGGCACTCCCGGTGGGGGTGTCTGCGGCACTCCCGGTGGGGATGTCTGCGGCACTCCCGGTGGGGGTGTCTGCGGCACTCCCAGTGGGGGTGTCTGCGGGCACTCCCGGTGGGGGTGTCTGCGGCACTCCCGGTGGGGGGTGTTTGCGGCACTCCCGGTGGGGGGTGTCTGCAGGCACTCCCGGTGAGGGGTGTCTGCAGGCACTCCCGGTGGGGGTGTCTGCGGCACTCCCGGTGGGGGGTGTCTGCGGCACTCCCGGTGGGGGTGTCTGCGGCACTCCCGGTGGGGGTGTCTGCAGGCACTCCCGGTGGGGGTGTCTGCGGGCACTCCCGGCGGGGGGTGTCTGCGGGCACTCCCGGCGGGGGGTGTCTGCGGGCACTCCCGGTGGGGGTGTCTGCGGCACTCCCGGTGGGGGTGTCTGCGGCACTCCCGGTGGGGGTGTCTGCGGCACTCCCGGTGGGGGTGTCTGCGGCACTCCCGGTGGGGGTGTCTGCGGCACTCCCGGTGGGGGTGTCTGCGGCACTCCCGGTGGGGGTGTCTGCGGCACTCCCGGTGGGGGTGTCTGCGGCACTCCCGGTGGGGGTGTCTGCGGCACTCCCGGCGAGGGGTGTCTGCGGGCACTCCCGGTGGGGGTGTCTGCGCCACTCCCGATGAGGGTGTCTGCGGGCACTCCCGGTGGGGGGTGTCTGTGGCACTCCCGGTGGGGGTGTCTGCGGGCACTCCCGGTGGGGGTGTCTGCGGCACTCCCGATGGGGGTGTCTGCTGGCACTCCCGATGGGGGTGTCTGCGGGACTCCCGGTGGGGGTGTCTGCGGCACTCCCGGTGGGGGTGTCTGCGAGCACTCCCGGTGGGGGTGTCTGCGGCACTCCCGATGGGGGTGTCTGCTGGCACTCCCGGTGGGGGTGTCTGCGGGCACTCCCGGTGGGGGTGTCTGCGGGCACTCCCGGTGGGGGTGTCTGCGGCACTCCCGATGGGGGTGTCTGCTGGCACTCCCGACGGGGGTGTCTGCGGGCACTCCCGGTGGGGGTGTCTGCGGGCACTCCCGGTGGGGGTATCTGCGGGCACTCCCGATGGGGGTGTCTGCGGGCACTCCCGGTGGGGGGTGTCTGCTGGCACCAAATGATACTTCACTAATGCATGTGTGTGTGTAGGGGGGGGGGGGGTTATGTAGGTGTGTGAGTGCGCGCGTGCATACACGCACCTGGAGAGCATACCTGGACACCGGGTGGCCCAGAATTAGGTAACTATTTCCACGAAATCATCCAAATATATTAAAAATGTACATTTCAGATTTTTACTCAAGATTCAAAAACAGGTAGATATATAATTCATAAGTCAAATCTTCATAGACAACTTTCAACACTGAGAACTCCATCTGTATCCATACATATTTCAAATCTAACTTTAGCGTTGCAAAACACATTTTGAAACATGTAGAAGAGTTATGCCCTGCACCGCCAGCTAAATACGGACTTTAATTTCAACTAAACTGTCGATCCTTTGCCGATAAAATGTTATTTTTGTGAACCCTCCATGCAAAGTAATCCTGGGGTGTCAAGTCCGGTTAACACGGAGGCCAAGGTCCTGGTCCTTCAGACCAATCCACCGGGTGGGAGAGCCTTGATGAGGTTGTTGTTGTTCAAGATTTGCTACCTAAAACAAAAAGTTCCAAGCAGCACGGGCTATGGTGAGCCCGTGATATGTGATGAGGTAATCGGGGACAATTAGTGCATAATGGAATGGTGCTCCATCTTGTTTACAACACAATATTATCAAGAATGCCATCATCTAGAAGCTGTGGCTCGGGAAACTGGTGAAGCATATCAAGGTTGTTGTTGTTGTTTTAGATTCAGCTACTTAGAACAAAAGTTCCAAAGTAGCACGGGCTATGGTGAGCCCGTGATGGACTTACCTGGCACAGGAGCGGGGCTGTAACTCGTGCATATCAAGGTATACGGTGCCTGTTATATAGGCTTTGTGAAAGAAGAATGGGCCATCAAGTCAGGATTTAGTCACTCCAAGCCACACGTTAACTTTGGAGAGTCTCTCTCTGCCATTCTATGAATTCATATGGCTTTTTCATGGGATCAAATACGATAATTGTGTTGACTGACTTTACCACTCCTTCAGGGAGCCGGTCGGCCAAGCGGACAGCACACTGGACTTGTGATCCTGTGGTCCCGGGTTCGATATCGGGCGCCGGCGAGAAACAATGGGCAGAGTTTCTTTCATCCTATGCCCCTGTTACCTAGCAGTACAATAGGTACCTGGGTGTTAGTCAGCTGTCACGGGCTGCTTCCTGGGGGGTGGAGGCCTGGTCGAGGACTGGGCCGCGGGAACACTAAAGCCCCGAAATCATCTCAAGATTTCAAGATAACCACCTGTGAAAAGTCGCATCATTGAATAAAATTTTATGCAATAAACCTTCGTTATTGATTTGATCCACAAATTCTGTACACCTTGCTGCTCGATTTGGATAATCCTCTACACTTTAGCACATGCAGAAACTGAATGTGATAAGCCGTTTCCATTATTGTCGAACGCAAAATTCTATGAACTATTGTCTTGGATAGGTCGGGTCTGCGACTGCCTTCCCTAACCGACGCTGTTGACTCATCCTCGAACCACTGTCGGACTCCTTCGGTACTGTCATGTTCTGTCCTTGGGCCTCCTCTTCCCCACGTCCTCGTATACGGATCCAGTTCTTTTAAATTTGTTTACACGTTCACGAATCGTTGTGTCTGCAGAACAGACTCTGAAATTTCCTAGTAAATCTTTCTGATTTCATTATATATATATATATATATATATATATATATATATATATATATATATATATATATATATATATATATAGATAGATAGATAGATAGATAGATAGATAGATAGATAGGATATATATATATATATATATATATATATATATATATATATATATATATATATATATATATATTATATTATATATATATATAATTAAATTCCACCTTAATAATTACTAAAAAAATCCAAAAGAATAAATAATGATCTTTCAGTTGAGGAACTTTCGCTGGTGTCCGGTTGCTCAAAACCGTAGTTCAATCAACATCAGTATGCGATGTAGCAGTGGTATAATATTCACCCCAAACCGGTAAATCCTTGTGACGTTCGAGGATCTTAAACACTAGAACACTACGTTGGGTTAACAACGATCTAAACGCAAAGTTTAATTATGAGTTCAAATTGAGTTTCTTTCACATAGCCTAAAGTCTCCTGGGATAGTAACATGAATAATTGTAACGCCTTGAAATGCGTATTCACAATCCGGCGCCAGACGAACGCTTTTCATTGTGGCTGCCGCGTAAATACCAGAACGCGTCACATTGAGAAACACAGATAAAAGCAGGTAAGATGGAAATGATTAAGTGTAAGGTCATTAATGCGTGCCGGTGGACACACACTAGACTTACGTGTCCACGTCATACTCTAATTCGCCAAGCTAGTAACACAAGTCCTGATAAAACTTCACGCACCATGCGAGTCCTGAAACCATTTCCTCCACAACAATTATGGAACCTTTAAGCACTATGGGCGGGTTTGCTCGAAATATGAACTAATTAACCCACCCCCCTTCCACCCGAAAAAATCAAGCGCAAGTTTTGTACTATTGGAATTTTAAAGTGGCATCAAAAAATCTTAAACACCAATCAAACATAAGCTGTCCTAGGCCTAAATAAGCAATTTTAGGCCAAATTTAGTCAATAGATACTAGTAAAAGTTAGATTGTACTGTAGTCTTCTTTATCAGGCTCTGTGCATAAAGAATAATACACAACATGGACTTATTTAGGTGGAAAAGCCCACATTTTGTACATTATCCAATGTACACATAAGAACATTCAGTTTTGTATGGCAGGTGGCAAGCCTCACTTCTCTCTCACCGAACAATTTTCCATGAAGAATTATATGTAACTGCATTAAAATTAAAATTCTCAGTTGCCTCTTTAATGAATAATATAATACTGGAATTTCGCACACACTTTTCATATTGTGGAATATTTCAGTTGAGGAGAGCCGACGAAATGGACAACTTGGCCTCTTACAAATATATTATACAATATACAAAGTAAACTTTCTTTAGCTCGGTATAAATATTAATGTTTTACTTAGAAAATCGAGGAACTCACCGGAATAGACAAAAGATGATAAGAAGACATCATCAGATGGCAGTAACCATGCGTTGACATCTGAATTATTTTCTTGTTTTGAAAATTTTTGGAATAGGATTGTATACAATATTTACCCACAGAAGGCGGAGACGCGTGAGGCTACAGGCCAGGGGCCACCGCCCACACCAGGTAGTTCTCACACTAAAAGTCGTCCTTAACGACTGCACACGACCCAACGATTGGTCAGTCCGGTATATTAAAACAAATAAAAGGGGAGAACAATACAATAGCACTCCATATTATGCCTCTCTAAGGCACTATTAATTTTGTGGGTATTTCCGTAATGTTACTACTGTCATGCTGCCCCACCACCACCCAGTACAGCTCCCAACACCGCCCTCACCACCCAGTACACCGCCCACCACCGCCCAGTACAGTGCCCCTCGGGCTTAAGGTCCATCAGCCTATGTAATGTTAATAAGACATAACCTCTCTGTGTATATGAACATATTTGTTTTAATTCATTGTGTCAGATATATGTAGATGGTATACATATATGCAAGTCTCCGGAAACTTATAACGCCCGCTTGGAGTGCTGGCTATAGCGACGGCCTCGCTTCCTGCAGAGTCCAGGCTCAATTCCCCAGCCCGACCTCCTAAGAGTTCCCACCGTCAAGAAACTGTCGTTCTAAAGTGCCCTTATCCTAACCTACCAGAGGACACCAAAAGAGAAAACGAGAACGTTTGTGCAAATTTCGCGAGTATGGCTTAGGTGACGGGCCTGGTTAGTGACGGGCCAGGTTAGTGACGGGCCAGGTTAGTGACGGGCCTGATTAGTGACGGGCCTGGTTAGTGACGGGCCTGGTTAGTGACGGGCCTGGTTAGTGACGGGCCAGGTTAGTGACGGGCCAGGTTAGTGACGGGCCAGGTTAGTAACGGGCCTGGTTAGTGACGGGCCAGGTTAGTGACGGGCCAGGTTAGTGACGGGCCTGGTTAGTGACGAGCCAGGTTAGTGACGGGCCAGGTTAGTGACGGGCCAGGTTAGTGACGGCCCAGGTTAGTGACGGGCCAGGTTAGTGACGGGCCTGGTTAGTGACGGGCCAGGTTAGTGACCTGCCAGGTTAGTGACGGGCTAGGTTAGTGACGGGCCTGGTTAGTGACGGGCCTGGTTAGTGACGGGCCTGGTTAGTGACGGGCCAGGTTAGTGACGGGCCTGGTTAGTGACGGGCCAGGTTAGTGACGGGCCAGGTTAGTGACGGGCCAGGTTAGTGACGGGCCTGGTTAGTGACGGGCCTGGTTAGTGACGGGCCAGGTTAGTGACGGGCCTGGTTAGTGACGGGCCAGGTTAGTGACGGGCCAGGTTAGTGACGGGCCTGGTTAGTGACGGGCCAGGTTAGTGACGGGCCTGGTTAGTGACGGGCCTGGTTAGTGACGGGCCAGGTTAGTGACGGGCCTGGTTAGTGACGGGCCAGGTTAGTGACGGGCCTGGTTAGTGACGGGCCAGGTTAGTGACGGGCCTGGTTAGTGACGGGCCAGGTTAGTGACGGGCCTGGTTAGTGACGGGCCAGGTTAGTAACCCCAGCTTGACAGGCTTGGTTAGTGACCACAGCGCGCACGCACACACACACACACACACTGGAAGACAGAAGAGTAAGGGGGGACATGATCACAACCTACAAAATCCTCAGGGGAATCGACCGGGTAAACAAGGATGAACTATTCAACACTGGAGGGACGCGAACAAGGGGACACAGGTGGAAGCTGAGTACCCAAATGAGCCACAGAGACGTTAGAAAGAACTTTTTCAGTGTCAGAGTAGTTAGTAAATGGAATGCATTAGGAAGTGATGTGGTGGAGGCTGACTCCATACACAGTTTCAAATGTAGATATGATAGAGCCCAATAGGCTCAGGAATCTGTACACCAGTTGATTGACGGTTGAGAGGCGGGACCAAAGAGCCAGAGCTCAACCCCCGCAAGCACAATTAGGTGAGTACACTCACACACTCACTCACTCACTCTCTCTCTCTCACTCTCTCTCTCTCTCTCTCTCTCTCTCTCTCTGCTACCTTGAGGTAGCCACCGTCCGCACCAAATTATTATTCGTAAACAAACTTCTTCACGCGCTAGGCTGTACCTACACACACACACCAGCGGAACAACGTTGGCGGCGTCTACTAAGCATGTGAATGTCTGAGTAACCTTCAGGAGCCTTAATAAGAAGCCTTCATAATCCCTTACACAACCTATGCGAGACCAACTTAAGAGTATGCAGCTCCGACATTATATTCCTACTTAAAATAGTAACAAAATGTCAGACAAAATTCACATGCCAACAACATGACTTGCATTTGAATCGAGATGATTCAGGCGCGACATAAAAATGGATTTCAATGTGGGTTCAAAATATAACTTATTTAAAAATATTCTAAGCAAATCACAGGAACGTTGTATACCATACAAATGGAATAGATCGAATAATGACCCGAAATGGATAACAAAGTATCTGAAGAACCTTATAGGCAGAAAGAGAGCGTGGTACAAAAGAATTAAGAATGGGGGAAGTCAGTTTAGACTGGTAAGAAATGTTAAAAAAGAGTTAAGGAGGGCAAAAAGAAACTATGAAGTTCGCATAGCAAAGTCCTAAAGTTTTTTTTCAGTTGTATCAAACAAGGTTAGTGAAAAGATAGGTCCATTAAAAACTGGGACAGGTCAGATAACTGATAATGACGAAGAAATGTGTAGTATTTTTAATAAATATTTTATCTTTGTATTCACTAAAGAGGAACTTAACAATATGCCTTCAGCCGAACAAGTCTATGTGGGTGGGGACGAGGACAGGTTGACGAGTTTAACAGTTACCAGGGGGGGATATTATTAAACAAATAGTGAAACTCTAGCCAAACAAATCCCCAGGGCCGGAGGAAGTGTTTGCCAGGGTGCTTAAAGAATGCAAAGAGGAGCTTTCCGAGCCACTGTTTACCATATTTAATAAATCATTGGAGTCAGGCAGAGTGCCAGAGTCGTGGAAGGTTGCTAATGTGGTACCAATTTTCAAGAAAGGAGATAAGATTACTTGCGTCAAACTATCGGCCAATTAGCTTAACGTCCGTCGTGGGAAAGTTGCTAGAATCAATAATTGCAACTGTCAATAATTGTCTTCATCTTGAAAACCATAAATTAATAAATGATTCACAACACGGTTTTACTAACGACCGTTCATGTTTAACAAATTTGTTAAACGTATCTTACGTTAAGTTTGTTTCTTACCCAGAAAGACCTGGGTAAATACTGGTTCAATAATAGTGTTGTTGATTTATGGAACTAATTACAGCGTAACGTGGTGGAGGTGGGATCCCTTGATTGTTTCATTCGTAGGATAGATTTATATAGATTTATATATATATATATATATATATATATATATATATATATATATATATATATATATATATATATATATAAACATAACAATCAAGAAAACTGCGTGAAGGCCTATTGGCTCATACAAGGCAGCTGCTGTTTATATTTACCCAATCTCATTCATATACATGTCTAACCTACACAGGAAACAATCAAGGGATCCTACTTCTATTATGTTACACGGTAATTGGTACCTCAAATCAAAAACTAATACCGAACTAGTATTTACCCAGGTCTTTCCTAAATCTAAACATCCATTTTATACCCATTGTTACTTGTTCTATTATGTGTTGATACTTTTAATACCCTATTAATATCCCCTTTGTTATGCCCATTTATCCCCTTGTACACCTCTATCGTGTCACACACAATTCTTCGCCTTTCTCGAAAATGTAAATTAAACTTTGTCAATCTTTCTTCATATGACAGTTCTAATTTGCGGGATTAACTTTGTCATCCTACGCTGGACGCATTCCAGTGAATTTATATCCATTCTATAGTACGGCGACCAAAACTGTACTGAATAATCTAAATGGGGCCTAACCAGAGTAAGATATAGCTGAAGACCACTACCTTATTACTAACGCTTCGAGCAATAAATCGCAGCGTCCTATTTGCCTTATTACGAACATTTATGCACTGATTTTTTTATTTTAAATTCTTACTAATCATAACTCCCAGATCCCTTTCGCAATCAGACTTCTCAATCTCAACACCATCTAGCTCGTATCTTGTAACTATCATCATGAACTAGCCTCAAAACCTTACATTTGTCAGCAATAAGCTGCATCAGCCAATATTTTTTCCATTTCAAAACCTTATTTAGATCGTCATGAAGCGACAGCGAGTCTTTTTTCGTGTTAATTTCCCTCCCGATTTTCATATCATCGGCAAATCGATATAAACAGGAGATTGGAAGATTATAACTAGGAGCTGCCGCGTATTCGGCCTTTAATAGGCCTTTTGCAGTTACCTTGAATTGTATGTTCTTATGATAGGAACTACATTGTGGATTACAACCAAGGTCAAAGGTTATGACTCTCTCGAGAACACAAACTGTTTCTGTTCTGAATCACCAGAGTGAAGGCGGTGACACATGCAGCTCTAGGGGTGTCTGGTAGGGTTAATGACATTAGATATATATATCTAGGGTCATCTTTAATATATATATATATATATATATATATATATATATATATATATATATATATATATATATATATATATATGTCGTACCTAGTAGCCAGAACGCACTTCTGAGCCTACTATGCAAGGCCCGATTTGCCTAATAAGCCAAGTTTTCCTGAATTAATATATTTTCTCAAATTTTTTTCTTATGAAATGATAAAGCTACCCATTTCATTATGTATGAGGTCAATTTTTTTTTATTGGAGTTAAAATTAACGTAGATATATGACCGAACCTAACCAACCCTACCTAACCTAACCTAACCTATCTTTATAGGTTAGGTTAGGTTAGGTAGCAGAAAAAGTTATGTTAGGTTAGGTTAGGTAGGTTAGGTAGTCGAAAAACAATTAATTCATGAAAACTTGGCTTATTAGGCAAATCGGGCCTTGCATAGTAGGCTGAGAAGTGCGTTCTGGCTACTAGGTACGACATATATATATATATATATATATATATATATATATATATATATATATATATATATATATATATATATATATATATATATTATATGTATAGTCATATGATGGATGTACTCAGCTAGTTGTGTTTGCAAGACCAGCTTCAGGTCCTGCCTCTACCGTTCCTAAGCCTATTGACCTATCATATCTACATTGAAAATATGTATGGAGTCAGCCTCCACCACATCACTTCCTAGTGCGTTCCATTTGTCAACTACTGACAATTAAAAGAAAAAAATTATATCGCTGTATGGCATTTGGTTAATCAGTTTCCACCTGTGTGTCTATGTGTGTGTGTGTGTACAACCTGTGCAAAATAGTCTGTATTTATTCACACACTAAATTTTCCTGAGAACTTTGTATGTGGTAATCATGTCTCTCACCACATCACCGAATGCCCGCTAATAGATCCCTTCCCTTCCTTATAGTGCACCCAAAATTTGCGAGTGCAGGCTACTGAACATGTGGCCCTGTATGACTAACCATCCTGTGTGATGGGGACTTCTTAGCATCACGTAGCTAGCTTTTTGACACACTGTAACTCCCCTTCATATAGTCAGCTGTACAAATGCCGATGTACCTAAATGTGTTAATAAAATAAAGTAACAAAAAATCATGTCTTCCTAAACTTTTCCACTTTCCAGCGACGTGAGGTTTAATTCCTATATCCTTTCCTCGTAACTCATACCTCTTTAACCTGAGCCTAGTCTGGTGGTATATCATTGAACTTTCTCTAACATCGTTCTATGATGACTAGACATGGACTCCACGCTGCAGCCGCATACTCCAGGATTGGTCTGACTTACATGAGATACAAGAAACTGAATTATTTCTTTCACAAATGTTAAAACTCAGTTCTTATGTTGTCCAACTTAGTATAGGCTACTGACGATATTATTTTGTTCTAGGCTTCAGGAAACGTTCCGTCTGATATCCGAACGTGTTTCCTGAAGCACTATATCTTTTTCTCTACCTGAATACTGAAAGATATCATCTCCAATTTGGTCTCTCGTGTCCGGCCTCCTGCTCCTCACGTCTCGTTTAATTACCTTGCATTTACTCAAGTTAAAGTCAAGTAACCATTTATCGTGTACGTCACAATACCTGCTGGTGATGATGTGGTTGCTGTTGATAATGTTGAAGATGTTGTAAATTTTGGTGATAATGATAGGAATGTTGCTGTTGCTGTTGCTGCTGCTGCTGGTAGTGTTGCTGTTGGTAATGGCGAAGGTCCTCAGATGAACTGGTGAAGGGAGTATGCCAAGAATTCATCTTCGGACATTATTGACGAATTATTAATCCGCGTATCATAATCAACAACACGTTCTGCTTCCAACTATGGAGAACAAGGTGTATGTTCTTAAAGAGTTCTTCCACTAAGCTACACTGCACCGCCACCGATGTGGTTTATGAGCCAAGTCGAGGCAAGAAGTGGCTGTAGCAGGTCTTGTAGTGTGACAAGAGCTGCCGAGGTATCACGTTATCTTCAGGTCGCCTCCTGACACACTGAGCTCCCCAGCGACACAGCTACAGCAACCTTCCCGCCACTGCCAACGCGCATGCGCTCACTTCCCGTTTTCTATAGTGCCATATTTTCTCAGAAGTATTTCATAGAATTTCGGGCTCATGGCTGCTATGTTCCGCGAAGAAGGTCAGTGAGACATTCACGGGAATGTCGCAAGTGGGCGATGAGGTGTTGTGCGCGGCGCGGGGGCCATTCACGCGCCCACAAGCGGAACCAAACAGGAACATACGCTCTCATTTTTTGGCCATATACGGCGAAGACCAAAATCAAAATAGGAGGTGTTCTTTCCCAGCGCGTCATGAGCGAGTGGGTATATTACGGCGCACCCTGGGGCCGCCCCTCTGGTCCTGGGGCCCCCTAGCTCCAAGGGTCCTGGGGGCTCCCTCGCTCCCAGGGACCCCCTAGCTCCCAGCCTTAATGGGACAGGTGGCCACTCACCGCCCTACTGATAGTCAATGGAATACTTGCTCACACACACCACCGCCGCCTACTGGAGAAATGTTGTTTTCTGCGTCCAGCGCCGCACATGGTGAGGGGACAGGTGCAGACCTTGAGGGGAGTCTGAGGGAAGCCACAAGGTGTCACCACACCCTGCAGGGGGGGGGGGGGTAACCACTACACTATGTGTAGGGAGTGTGAGTCACTCATCAGTATGATGAGTGTGTGTAGGGGGAGCATGAGTCACTCATCAGTGTTTATCTTAGATTACATTGGAAGAGCCTTTGTTTACGTTTCTAAACGACATTCTAGTGTTTGCTAGCGTCCCATATGCTGCTGATGTTACCAGGTTTATGTGTGTGTGCCTTTGGTGACAGTGTTGGAACTACATTCACATCCTTTTGTCTCTCCGACTTGTTGTCGTCTTCTCTTATGATGAGCATATAATAGTGATGAATGTACGGGCGTGAGTCACTCATCAGTGATGAGTGTGCATGGGATGAGTAACGAGTGTGGAGAGGTCACTCAGTGTTCACAATGCACAGGGTGTGGAAGTGACTAGAGAACAGAACAGAACTATCAGAGAAAAGTGCCAAGCATTTAAGACTATATAGCACTGGGAAGGGGGGTCAGGATAAGGATTTGGGATGGGACGGGTGGTAAGGAATGGTGCCCAACCACTTGTGGACGGTCGGGGATTGAACACCGACCTGCATGAAGCAAGACCGTCGCTCTACCGTCCAACCCAAGTGGTTGGGAAGAGCAACGGGCGCGGTGGCCACTGGTGATACCTGGTTGATGGGGTTCTGGGAGTTCTTCTACTCCCCAAGCCCGGCCCGAGGCCAGACTCAACTTGTGAGAGTTTGGTCCACCAGGCTGTTGCTTGGAGCGGCCCGCAGGCCCACATACCCACCACAGCCTGGTTGGTCCGGCACTCCTTGGAGGAAACTATGTAGTTTCCTCCTGAAGATTGTCCACGGTTGTTCCGGCAATATTTCTTATGCTCGCTGGGAGTATGCTGAACAATTTATGATGTTTATAGTGTTCTCTGATTGTGCCTATGGCACCTCTGCTCTTCACTGGTTCTATTCTGCATTTTCTTCCATGTCGTTCACTCCAGTACGTTGTTATTTTACTGTACAGATTTGGGACCTGACCCTCCAGTATTTTCCACGTGTATATTATTTGGTATCTCTCTCGTCTCCTTTCTAGTGAGTACATTTGGAGAGCTTTGAGACGATCCCAATAATTTGGGTGCTTTATTGCGTCTATGCGTGCCGTATATGTTCTCTGTACTCCCTCTATTTCATCAATCTCTCCTGCTCTGAAGGGGGAAGTGAGTACTGAGCAGTACTCGAGACGGGACAACACAAGTGACTTGAAGAGTACAACCATTGTGATGGGATCTCTGGATTTGAAAGTTCTCGTAATCCATCCGATCATTTTTCTGGCTGACGCAATATTTGCTTGGTTATGCTCCCTAAACGTTAGGTCGTCAGACATTATTCCCAAGTCCTTGACATGTTGTTTTCCTACTATGGGCTGATTTGATTGTGTTTTGTACCCTGTATTATGTTTAAGGTTCTCATTTTTACCGTATCTAAGTACCCGGAATTTATCGCTGTTAAAAATCATGTTATATTCTGCTGCCCAGTCGAAAACTTTATTAATATCTGTTTGTAGTTTTTTGTGTGGCCACGGGTGGGTATGGGCGTGGGGTGGCCACGGGCGGGGGTGGGCACGGGCGGGGGTGGCCACGGGTGGGATATGGGCGGGGGTGGCCACGGGTGGGATATGGGCGGGGGTGGCCACGGGTGGGATATGGGCGGGGGTGGCCACGGGTGGGATATGGGCGGGGGTGGCCACGGGTGGGATATGGGCGGGGGTGGCCACGGGTGGGTATGGGCGCGGGTGGCCACGGGTGGCAGAAGGGGGGGGGGGCCACAACCCTGGCCAATACTCAGGATAGTTACATCACACACATGTATAGATCTTACTGCCAACACACTTCCTCCCCCGCCCCCCCCACCCCACCCCCGCCTGCAGGTGTGGGTATATCCCAGAGTTTATATATGGCGTTGTGTTCATTATTGGGGGCACTCTCGTACTGGTGTGTCCTGGCCCACCCCCCACACCTGTGCTGGTGTGTACTGAGCCACCCCCCACACCTGTGCTGGTGTGTACTGGGCCACCCACCACACCTGTGCTGGTGTGTGCCGGGACCCCCACCACACCTGTGCTGGTGTGTACTGGACCACCCACCACACCAGTGCTGGTGTGTACTGGGCCACCCACCACACCAGTGCTGGTGTGTACTGGACCACCCACCACACCAGTGCTGGTGTGTACTGGGCCACCCACCACACCAGTGCTGGTGTGTACTGGACCACCCACCACACCAGTGCTGGTGTGTACTGGGCCACCCACCACACCAGTGCTGGTGTGTACTGGGCCCCCCCCCACACCAGTGCTGGTGTGTACTGGACCACCCACCACACCAGTGCTGGTGTGTACTGGGCCCCCCCCACACCTGTGCTGGTGTGTACTGGGCCACCCCCCACACCTGTGCTGGTGTGTACTGGGCCACCCCCCACACCTGTGTTGGTGTGTACTGGGCCACCCACCACACCAGTGCTGGTGTGTACTGGGCCCCCCCCCCACACACCAGTGCTGGGGTGTACTGGGACCCTCCCCCCCCACCACCACCACCACTGGTCACACAGTACTATTAAAACACTCAACACTGGCCCTGGCGGCCACCAGCCAGTTCCCAGTAACACTAACCATGAAGCACTAAGCCCATTTCCAGGAAGTCATACGTCAATTGTTTACCAAATTGTCAAAGAAAACGGAAGACATAATTACTCTCTTTGGGTAAACAACAATTTTTTTAAAGCTTTTTAATTATTTTTGGCTAATTGGTTAATGGAAGTCAAATTTACCCGGGGAAACTATTGCCCAAGATGGCAAGGACAGCACAGCCGTAAGCTAACGAGCACAGCTCAACCAGTAGTTAAGAAGCACAGTTCAGACGACCCAATTCTACTAATAATATTAGTAGTAAGCAATATCTACCATGAATATGACGAAATGTTTCCTATAGCTCACTATTGACAAACTCAACCGATAACAACTCAATGTCACCAATAGCAAATTACGAATCATTGGTATATGTATGTATGTATGTATGTATGTATGTATGTATATGTATATATATAGATAAACTGGGAATGGAAAGTTAGTTCCGAGAAACATTATACGATATTTTAGTCCACATAAAAAGGGACGATACAGGGTAAGCAAATCATTATTTCGCTGATATACATTGTGTGTGTGTGTGTGTGTGTGTGTGTGTGTGTGTGTGTGTGTGTGTGTGTGTGTGTGTGTGTGTGTGTGTGTGTGTGTGTGTGTGTGTGTGTGTGTGTGTGTGTGTGTGCCTGTGTATGTGCGCGTGTGTGTTTACAAGAGTGTCACTTGCTTAGCTGAATGAATTCTGGGGTTCTATTTACTGGTCCAATGGTAGGTACAATCACAAATAACTACCAACTACAGCAAGAGGAGGTAACAGAACAACTCGGCGAGGCAGTAGAGTTACCAAGCGAGGCATTAGACAAAGGCTCAAGAGCCACGCATGCGCACGCCCGTTTTCTGTAATGCGTTTACTCAAGATCTACGCATTACTTTTCTGCAAAGGAGAATCTACATAATACGCTCAGTTGTAATACAAAATACCTGTCTACTAATACAAAATTATATTCATCACCGAAAGTACACTATTATCGGCAATGAAAAAGCTTTGAATAACATGTATGAGTTATTATAAGGATCTACAAAATAAATTTGAACGCAATATGGTTGGTGTGGGGTGGACGCATGGTTGGTGTAGTGTTGGGTGGGTGCATGGTTGGTGTAGTGTTGGGGTGGGTGTATGGTTGGTGTAGTGTTGGGTGGGTGCATGGTTGGTGTAGTGTTGGGTGGGTGCATGGTTGGTGTAGTGTTGGTGGGTGTATGGTTGGCGTAGTGTTGGGTGGGTGTATGGTTGGTGTAGTGTTGGGTGGGTGCATGGTTGGTGTAGTGTTGGGTGGGTGCATGGTTGGTGTAGTGTTGGGGTGGGTGTATGGTTGGTGTAGTGGGGTGGGTGCATGGTTGGCGTAGTGTTGGGTGGGTGCATGGTTGGCGTAGTGTTGGGTGGGTGCATGGTTGGCGTAGTGTTGGGTGAGTGCATGGTTGGTGTAGTGTTGGGTGGGTGCATGGTTGGTGTAGTGTTGGGTGGGTGTATGGTTGGTGTAGTGTTGGGTGGGTGCATGGT